TCAGAAGCATATAATGTGTGTGTGTGTGTGGGGGGGGGGGGGGGGGGGGGGGGGGGGGGGGGCGTTCTGGGGGTCCTCCCCCAGAAAATGTTGAATAAAGTAGATGCCATTTCCTGCATTCTGGTGTATTTTAATGGTTGTTTAACATCTAGTTTTACCTACATAAGTAAACACTTGGAACACTTTGGGATTCCCCTGGAGGAGCTGGTCCAAGTGAGAGGGAAGTCTGGGCCTCCCCACTTAGGCTGTACCCCCATGGATGGATGAAAGTAAACACTTGATTCAGTAACTATTTTAGAGCTAATGGCACAACAAGAAGTAACCTGACCAACAGCTGATTCAATAATTAAAAATATTATATATTCAAAGGTGATGATTTGCTGCCCAAATTAAAATTAAATGACTGTAACTTAGTTGACTTAAAATGTAATAAAATTATCAATGAATGTTTGAGACAAAGGATTTATTGATTATAACAAAGATTCCTTCAAGAAATCTCTCAATATAAATCATAAAACCATAATGATTTCTATTAATTCTAAATTTGTTAAATGGCCTAAATCTCCTAAAGTGAAGGAGAATCATTTAAAAATAATAAATAAGATATATCCTGTAGCCACGTTTCTTGAAATAAGATTTCAATTTGAGGTTGATTTGTTGCCTTTTGTCAATCACAAGATGAATTCCTCGAGCATTATTTTTTACTGTCAATACAAAGTGTTTGGTCAGACATAAGAAACTGGATTAATCTCGAACTTAACATAACTTATTTTGATGCTGATGACATTTTACTTTATGTGGATAACTTAAGCTCAGCTTTCTCTGATGCCATAAATAAAGTCGTACTTGTAACAAAGTACCACATTCACTGTAGTAAGAGGAGGGATAATAATCCCTCCTTCCTGTTTGATGAACGATTTTAAGTGATACTATTCTTCATTAAGTAGATTAAAATCTGCAAAACTGCTAAAATCATCTCACAACAGATACAAACTTATTGTTTTAATTAAAACAAGAAGTTTCTCAAGAAAAAAAACTGATGAGCTTGTCAGCAGGTAAGGGGCGTTTACCTTCTGGACAAACTGAGGTCGTCGATTGGTCAGTTACTGACACGCCTTCTGAGTTGATTGACAGGTTGCACCGTCAACGATCCGATTGAAAAAAGAAAAAAAAAACGAGAGCTGCAGCAGCTGGGAGGAGGTGGGGCGGCACAAATGCAGCAGAGGTCGTTTTCACACCAGATAGTCCGGTAGACTCGGTTCGGTTCGGGACCAATATTCATGAGCTTTTGTTACATTTGAGCTGGTGCGTTTGCATTCACACTGCACTGTGCAGTCGAGTCAACCTGTTGAACCAACCTGTTGAAGCAACCTGTTGAAGCAACCTGTTGAACCAACCTGTTCCCCCGCTCGCCTGAGGGGGCGCTGCACCAAGAACTACTGAAAGAAATGACACAAAAACCTCTGAAGACACGTCTTCTTCTTCTTCTGGAAATAAAAATGAAGTGGCATAAAGTTTTAGCAGTTTTAGGAGTTATATTTTGTCATTTTTCAAAAATGGACTCAGCATGAGCAGAAGATGAGACAGAAGACCATGGAGAATATTGTTTTTCCACACAAGGCAGCTGACGGCTCCATATAAGAGAAATGCTTGTTTGTTTACCCTGCGGAGCGGGGCTCGGTCTGTTTACATTCACACTGTACTCGAACCGCGCTGGAGCTCGCTTCTACTGGACCGAGACCTAGGTTTTAGCCCGGGCCAGGGTTCGCCTTTTTGTTCCGTGACAGAGTTTGATGGCGCGTTCACACCTCCCTAAACAAACCGGACTTTCTAGGAAAATGAGCTAGGGTTCGATTAAAGTGGACTAAACAGGGCTAGTGTGAATGCACCCAGAGTCTCTGTGCACCGCAGAGCTCCAAGTAAAGCAGGAGATAACCAGATATTCTGCTTGTGTCCTCACTGCCCTAGGCCCCTTAGAGATCATGGGCCCCTGGGCAGTTGCCAAGTTGCCAATATGAAAGAGTGACCGCTGGCCTGGAGATGAATGATCTTCTGTGCTCAGAAGATCAACATCATCAGGCCAGGACTCTGCGGTCTACACTCATCTCCAGGTCAGAGATCACTCTTTCAGGGATGAAGATGTTCACATCCTGGATAGAGAGGAACGATGGTTTGAGAGAGGAGTAAAGGAGGCCATCTTTGTGAAAAGAAACTGTCCATCATTAAACAGGGGTGGAGCCTCCGGGTTCAACTGTCCCCCTCTTACAATGCTGTGATTGCTAGTATCACTCAGCCCTCTGTGAACAGTAAACAGCCATCAGGTGCTAATGATCCATTGTTAGGCTGATGGTCCTTCTTGATCATGTGATCAGCTGGTTCTGGTTGTCAGCAGCAAAACTGGTTGATCCACTCTGAGAAGGTGCTATTTAAGAGACTGAGCTGAATACAGCACCTCAGATTGAGGAAGTCTCTCGGATGAGAGACGAAACGTTTCTATAGTTTTTTGCTTTGTTTTGTTTTTTGTTTTTTTGAATGTCCAGAGGACTAGATTGAACTTTTTTTAACTTAAAAATACATTTTAGAAATAATGTATCACATTTTATTAAATTTACAACAAAACGGGTGTCAACCCACCTGGAAAAAAACTCCAGGGTCGTTCCAAAGGGCCAAATTCTGACAGCCCCGTTCTGTTACTGTTCCATCCTGGTTCAGAATGATTGACAGACGTCTTGCCACGCCTCCTTGTTTTGCGGCTCATTGGGGCTAATTTTGGTCAGCCCAGGGTCTGCCCACAGCCACAGGATTCATCCAGTGAGGATGGGCGTACAATAACATGCCTCCAGCGTGAGTGTATGTGGGCGTGGCTTGGTGGTGTAGACAGTATGATGGCGCCCATCTTTGAACTTGCTACTGAGGTTGTCTCACTGCTGCAAGCTGCCGTTATTTTTCTGCATTTTTTAATCTGTTTTCTCCTGTTTTCGTTTTGCATTGGGGATGTTCAGTCTATGCTGGTCTATAATCAGAAAATGCTGCTGTCCAATTGGGTGTCCATGCAGAGGAGCTGCGTCCCACCCTCAGGTACTGGCTCACCAGCGAGCAGCTTCCCTTCTGGCATTTTTTGCGACCCTGCACTGGGTTCACGCAGATCTCGGAGGAAGAGAAAGCGAGGCAGCCAGTGTCCAGGTGAAGCTCAGGCTTTTTTGGAAGTCAGTAAGGTGAAAAATAATATTTCTTCACAAGTACCTGGGCTGACTGTTCCCTCTCTAGCTTGGCCTGTTATTTTAGACCAAAGTTCAGGCCTCAAGGGCTGGAGTCCTGCAACTTTTAGATGTGTCTCTGATGCCACACAGCTGAATCATATGACTGAATTAGCTTCTCAGTGCAGTCAAGTTCTCCAAAGTTCTGCGAATGACCTCCCTATTTGATGTGGCAGCCCTTTATGTTGTATGTGGAAAACTTGTCAATGCCTATTTAGTTATTTATGTGTGTGTGACTGATCTGGGGTGGGAGGGGTTTTTGGTGTGTTCTATTTTTTTGTTTGTTTGCATGTTCAAAAATATAAAAAAAATCTATAAAAAGACCGATTAAAAAAGAAATGCAGCTGCCAGGAAAAGACATAAAGGAGATATATGGATGCAGTTGGAGAGGATATGGAGGGAGTTGGAGTGAGGACAGAGGACACAGAGGACAGAATGAGATGGAGTCACCACTAGGTGTGGTGACCCCTGATGAAGGACAAGTCAAAAGAGCACAGGTTTAAAGCAGGATGTACTTAGAATTGAATATTGTTGAGGTGAGAATCCGAGCTGCTTGGTTTGGGTTAGCATTTCACAATTCAATTATTATTTATGTTAATCAATAAACTAATAATGTAAATATTCAGATTCGTCAAAATAATAATCTCAATCTTCATGCTAATCGTTAAACTAATAATTTCATAATTAATGTTAATCAGTAAAATAATAATCACAATCTTCATATAAATCATTTAACTAATTGTCACAGTTTACACTCTGTTTTTTTCCTTTTCTCATCACTCTATTCACTGTTTGACTTTTTCTTCTCTGCTCTCCTGGGTTTTTCCTCTGCTGCTTCTGCCAGCCTCTTTACATGCCACACCTCTCTCTCTCTCTCTGATTGCTGCTGATGGTTTCTGGGTGTATATATACTTCCTGCTTTCTCCACTACGTTGCCAGATCAACTGCTTGCTTCCAGCCACAGTTATCAAGCGTACTTTCCTTGTTCACAGCTCTTTAATCTTGATCCACGCCTGTTTCCCTCAACCACGCTTTTTGCCTGTCCCTTTTGTGCCTCAGCCTTCTGACCTTGTTGATGACCTACGCCTGTTTTTGGATTTCACCTTTGCTTCTCCGTATCGGTACTGTCTCCTTTTCTGATCCCGTGTATGAACCCTGCTCATCCTCGACTATGCCTCTGGACTTCCCTTGGTCTCTGCAGCTCTGTATCTCTGCTGGAGCGCCCCGGTACATCAAGAAAGGTTAGCGTTTCACCAGACCGTCTGTATTCAGATAACTACTTGTTATTTTGCCAAACACTAACCTTTCCCCCTGTATCATTTTAGATGAGTTCCTGGACCTGAGACACCAGAAGCTGTTTATTTATTCAATAAACATTTTAAAAACCTTTCCGAGTTTGTGTGTAGGATCCTCTACCATCAGATCTCTGACACTAATAATATCAATCTTCATGTTTTTTTTCCAATTTTCATGTTAATCAATGAAATAACCCCTACATTCATATTAATCAATAAAATAATTTTAATCTTCATGTCATTCAATAAATTAATAATCTCAATTTTCATTTTCCTCAATAAACATTCTCAATATTTATGTTATTCAGTAAACTAATAATCTCAGCTCAGCAGATCAGTGAAGATCAATATAAATAACCAATATAATCAATATGAATGGAAACAGATGCAGCAGCCTTGTGCTGTTCATATTGGTCCAGACTGATGATGGCATCTTCAATCAGTGCTGTCACACCTTGGTGCTGGGCAGGTGGAGTTCATCTGCTTCCTCCTCTTCATGTTGTCCTCCCATCCTGTCAGGAGGCGAAACTTCCTCAGACCCCCTGAAACCTGTGAAGGTTGGGCAGATAGGAAACCACCTGAGGAAGCGAGTCTTTCTGACCATGCCCATCCCTAGAGGAAAGTCATAGGAGGAGGAGCCAGCCGATGAGGAGGAGCCAGATGAAGAGAGCCACTGGATGAGTCCTCGTTCCTTTTTTGTACCTGAATCCAAGAAGAAGAAGAAATCTGAAACAGGTGGAGGTGTTGATTTAATTGATCAATTGTCTACAGTCCCATCAGTGTCTCCGCTGGTCAGTTCTGCCTCCGCTTTCGTCAAGTTGTTGTTCCTAATCGCGGATTCAGTGGCCGTGATTAGTTCTACAACAGGTATTTCTTGTGGGGAGATAGTAAAGTTGAGTCCTTTTGCCAACACATCTTTCTCAGGTTGTGTCAAAGTCCTGTTTTATACAAATTTCTAACCCACTGGTCCTGAATATTTGTGTTGGCGACAACCACCTGATCTTGACTGATGGTTTGTGATGAGAAAACAGTTCTCTGTTGTAATTATAGAAACTTGCTTTTTTTACGTTCTTTGCTCTTTTGATGCTGTGAAAGCTGGGGTTTTTCAACAAAACAAGAAACTTCTTCCAACAGAGGAAGTGGTAGCAAAGTAGACAGCTTCTGGAGGGTTTGTTACAAATAAAGTCCAGTTGTTTTTTATTGAACGTTTTTTGAATTCATCATGTCATGGATGACTGAGAATCTTCACCAGCATCTACTTAATTTGTCTTTAATGGATGGTTATGTACCAAAGCGCTTTAAGGTTGCTGTAATTAAACCATTACTTAATAAGTCTGACCCTGATTCAGAAATTCTGGCCAACTACAGACCTATATCTAATCTAACTTTCATCTCAAAAATTCTACAGAAAATAGTTGCAGGTCAGTTGCGTGAACATCTACAAAGAAAAAATCTGTTTGAAGAGTTTCAGTCAGGGTTTAGAGCTCATCATAGCACAGAAACAGCACTAGTAAAAGTCACTAATGATATTCTCATGGCCTCAGACAATGGACTTGTGTCTATACTGGTCCTGTTAGACCTCAGTGCTGCATTTGATACAGTTGATCACAATCCAACATTTTTCAGTCAGGTCATCTGGACAGTTTCTTTTTTTGTGCTGAAACGTTTCACCTTCAGTCCGGAAGGCTTCATCAGTCAAGGAAACACAAACCAAAACTGATTCTTCCCCCAACAGGTTACTCCAAAGTGGAACAAACCAGTTCTGCTTGTGATAAGATGGTCTCTTTGGTACGCCCCCTCCTCCATTGCCGGCCCTCTTCCTTGTTGACAGTCTTGTCAAACTGGTTGAAACTGTCCAGATGACCTGACTGAAAAATGTTTTATTGTATACCTGGATTATTGAGCATGGACTTTGTTAGTTGATCACAATATTTTACTACAGAGGCTTGAATATGATGTTGGAATTACAGGAACAGCTCTAAAATGGTTTAACTCATATCTATCTGATAGGTTCCAGTTTGTAAATGTAAATAATAAATCTTCTTCAAACACCAAAGTTAGTCATGGAGTTCCTCAGGGCTCAGTGCTTGGGCAAATACTCTTTACTTTATATATGCTTCCATTAGGTAAAATTGTTAAACAGCATGGAATAAATTTTCATTGTTATGCTGATGACACACAATTATATTTGTCCATTAAACCCAATGAATCCAATCAGCTACTTGGACTACAAGAATGTCTTAAAGACATAAAAACCTGGATGACCCTTAATTTTCTCCTGATGAACACAGACAAGACTGAGGTTTTCGTTTTTGGACCTAAGCACCTTAGGAATTAATTTTTCAGTCTTTCTCCCTCCTTAGATGGCATTAATCTGTCCTCCAGCTCTAATGTTAAAAATCTTGGTGTTATTTTTGATCAGGACGTGTCTTTTATCCCCCACATTAAAAACGTTACTAGAACCTCCTTCTTCCACCTGCGTAATATCACTAACATTAGAAACATCTGATCTAAAGATGATGCAGAAAAACTGGTCCATGCATTTGTCACGTCTAGACTGGACTAGGAATGCGTGATATAAACGGTACGTGGTAGAAATGATAGAAATTTAGCCTATGATAGAGATCTGTCTGCATCACGTGCATTGTGTGCCATATGTTTAGCTATAACAATACCTTGTTTGAAGATAATGGTACATGTATCAAATGTTCTGATTGTCAGTTCTGGAGGAGAGGCTGTCTGATCTGGAAGCTCGACTCTGTGCTTTTGAAAAACCATTAACTAGCCAGGCATCCGTAGGCTCTGCTACTCTAATGCTAGCTCATGTTAGCAGTCAGAAATCACCTTAAATGGAGCAGCACTTCTCTCTAAAAACTTATGCCACTTTTGCACTGCTCCTGTTTAGCCCTGCTTAGATCAGCTTGATTTGCACCGAACTTCATGACGGGTTCTGGAGGCGTGTCCAGAATCCAAAATCCTGCTAATGAACTTCTAATGAACTTTAGTTCACTGAGAGAGAGTTCTGCAATTCAAAGCAGTCTGCTCCTCAGATAAATAATGGTAAAATATTATTTTTAAATATGAATGTTTCTGTTAACTTATTTTATATATGAATATTTCTATTCAGTGCCCTGAGACGACTTCTGTTGTGACTTGGCGCTTTATAAATAAACTGAATTAAATCTGATGAACCAGATCCTACATAAACATTTATATTTAAAATTCCATATTTTTCGTCATCATTTGATGTATTTGCACTCATTTTTGATATGTGCTTTAGTTTCTTGTATACAGATTTTATTTTAGTAATTTAAGTGATGAGCAGTGATCATTGTTATTTCTCACCTTACTGACTTTGTCTATAAAATAAGAAAGAAAAAGTTGGCAATCCTCATTTGAAGAGAGAGGAACAATCAAACAGTGATTTAAAGTTTAATTCTTGTTTTGTTCATCTGTGGGTTAGAATAAAGTTGAACCAAAGGCTTTATCTCTTCTTTAAACATGTTTGAGGGAAATATTCCTGAGAAATCCAATAATTTCGTCGTTTTTATTATTTTTCACCTGAGTTAACTTTAACTAACAGATTATTTAATAAAGTCAAAGTGAAAACAGGATTTCATGATGAAGCCGGCATTTTGTATTTATTTTTATTCCTCACTGATATCCATACAGCCATCCATTTTCTTCTGCTTATCTGCGGCCGGGTAGTGGGGGTAGCGGCTTAAGTAGGGAGGCCCAGACTTCCCTCTCCCCAGCTACTTGGGTCAGCTCCTCCGGGGGAATCCCAAGGCATTCCCAGGCCAGCTAAGAAACATAGTGCTGGGTCTTCCTCTGGGTCTCCTCCTGGTGGGACATGTCTGGAACACCTCACCAGGGAGGCATCCAGGAGGCATCCTAACCAGATGCCCAAGCCACCTCAACTGGCTCCTCTTGACGTGGAGAAGCAGCGGCTCTACTCTGAGTCCTTCCTGGATAACCAAGCTTCTCACGCTATCTCTAAGGGAGAGCCCAGATACCCTATCAATTTAGAGGAATTGATCCTCATCCTGGCCGCGTCACACTCAGCTGTGAACCGCTCCAGTGAAAGTTGTAGATCACGACCTGATGAAGCCAGTAGGACCTGTCAATAGATGTGATCTTTAGCTAAACGTGAAATCAGTACAAAGCCCTACAATGGTTACAGCCTTACCTCCTCTATTGAGAAAGAAGCTGGAGGCCTCTGTGTGTGCATGTGTGCACTTATGAAACAAGAAGCAAGCAGGCGTAACCATTTACAGATGTTAATTCTGTGTGCAGAACCAGGCTGCAGGCTTTTTTCTCATTAAAGAGCACTAAAGCAGCAGATGTAGGAAAAAGTGTTTTACAAATCAAATAATGTGTGATTATTGCTTAAAAAGTGATTATGTGAATAATTATATTTGATTAAAAGAACTTATAATTAAGTTGAACCATTTATAAAAGAATTAGTAAGCTAAAATGTTAAACTGTAATGTTGGCTGGAAGTTAACTGATGGCTGAATGAACAGAATGTTTCCTAGAAGAACAACACCTGTGACTATTAAGTTCAACTGTAATAACCCTCCTGGAGCAAGAACAGGGTGATGAAGCTTAGAACAGAGTGTTCCATAAAAGGACAACGCCCTTATTACAAGGTGTTTTTTGGAACTGATTGTTCCAAGAAGTTAGTTTGTCTGACAGCTTAAAGTACCAATCAGAGGGTTACAGCAGATGGTTAAACCCAAAGAGGTAACACCAGGCTAAAACAAGTTCAGACTTTTTATTAACTGGTTTGTACTGGGCTCATATATAATTACAGTTCACAGTCACAGATCTGAGCTAAATAGTTCTGGGAGTTAGATACACAGGACGGTATTGGATCTGCTCTTAAGCTACTGAAGAAGATTTGGACAATCCGAAAAGGACTCCTTTTTAGTAAAGATAGGATAATTCTTTTGGTTTCAGCCCAGATTAAAAGCCAAATCAGACCTTCTTCAAATCAGGACAGCTTTGTGAGCGTGGGGCACACTTTCCCAGGGCTCTGGGAAGGGGATTTCTCTTGCCTTTAACCAAAGATTTCTTCAGAAAAAGGAGAAACTATGGTAAGAGACACCTTGATTTACCGTTCTTTTGCAAATTTTATACAAAATAATAGCGACAGTTCTACCAACAATTAAGGGAATCAGATTAATATTATCAACCTTCTGGGTCCTCTGTTCATGAACGCCATCCAATGAAATAGGTTTTACAAAGACAGATAACAGTTTGGAGAGATTTCATGTAAGTTGATCAAGGAGTTTAGAGTTCTTTGGGGTTCTAACATGCTAGGACTCTTGGTGTTGCTCATTTAGATGGTAGGAAGGCTTTCCCCCATCAGCTCATAAGAGCTTTAAGGACTCCAAACACCCTATCTCAGCTCATCAGAGCAAGGAAATCACATCTTTAGTGGACTTCCAATCCTTTGGACATCAAAATCAATTAACAGGATCCTTCCTCAAACAATGTATGGACTTTTTTACTACTGATTTCACTACATAACCAAATGTAATCATTTTTGGATTGTGCATTAATGCTGTTCCCTTGCAAATCATTGATTAAAGCAAAGTATAAAACGTAAAAATCTGGACTATCATTTCACTACTTTGTGTTCATGGATTTAAGAAGCTTTGTTCAATTCCAACAAATGTAGGGAGATTTTTAAAGGG